TCCTGAAATTATCAATGTCTCTGCTAAAATGTTGGAGACTTATTCTGCAAATATATGTATGTGTGAATTATAAAAAAAAAATTCAAAAAAGGAAGAGATTTTTATCCGAAATTTTAAACATTTTTACCATTACATAATTTATAGATTCTTCAATAATTTGATTTTATGCACAAGATGAATGTGAAAGTAATTAATGACGCATAATTGGATACGATAGATAGTCCCTTGTTTACACATGGCATTTCTTGTGTGTGAAATGTGTTTCCGTATAATTTGATTTATTTACAAATTGTTCATGATTGTCGTGTTGATGTAGACTTATTATAAACTCCCGAATTCTGATATTTAAGGATTCTGTAGTGTTGGGTATGAACATGAAGAAGATGGAAATGCTTTCAACATTATGAAAAATATAAAGCATAACGAACGCCTTTTTGGGTGCAGATCATGAAATGTAATAAGCTCCACGGGTATTTGTTGTCCTGTGCGCATTAATCCTGACACCCAAATTCTTACTTGGCTAGTCATACCTTTAGAAAACATTTATATCAAGATGAAAGTTAACTCGGCATTAGTCGGCAACATGCGCCATTCCATTGTTTAAGTTTTATTAGGTGATTACACCGCCTATACCCGAATTCGCGGATTCAACGATACCCTTTTATCGGGTATTATACGCGATTTCAAGGATAATACCCGATTTCGAGTATTCTCTCCAACCTGTTGAAGGCTGTATGACGACACCATTTTCATTTGTGATCTTCCATTGCTGAGAATAGAAAAATCTCCAATACTTTTTGTTACATCCGTGTTTTCCTTTCCGAGTTTTGCTATGTCTAAGACGTCCACATGTTAAAAATAATCCTGAAATTGGTTTAAATAATTGTTTTTTCTGTTCAGATACGTAGCTCGCTGCACTGTATTGACTGACCCTCCGGTGAATACGGCCTAAAATCCGGTGAATATGTAGTGTTATGAACTGTTTGCGTTTGTATAGATTATATGGGGACTATAAAATGACTATATAATAAAATTCTGTATTTTTCCCACAATCATTTTGATGAAGATTACTAACGTTTTGAAAATTGTGACTGATCATTGAATTTAAAAGCAACTTCAATTTAAATTTTACAGTGACACATAAGGATATCACAAATCCTAATAATTCTGCTTAAATGTACCGGTGCGTTACAAACTAAAACGATTGTGCCAATTATTGAACGATCTAAATCAAGAACATATAATATTATTATATTTTTCAAATATTTATCCTGTATAGGTATGTATCACATTCACCAGAACGTATGACAAACATACCGAGAATAATTTCAATAGCAGGGGCACATACTTCCAGGAATTTGTCGTTATTTTCATTTATTACACAGTGATATTTGAACATTGAAGCCTCTGTGCAGTTTTGTTTTTCAGCCAGTTCGTGACATTTTTTAATTTTTTCTGCCTTTTCTTTATCAGCTGTCGTTACAGGGCAAGTGCTGACTTCTTGGACTGTTCTACGTGACCATGTACAGTTTCCTCCAGTATTTGTACTCTCCTAAATTCAAGGTTAGGATAATGTATTAGAAAACATGAAATAGTGCAGTAACTTGATTTCCAAATCTACATGAGGTATTATGGATATAGATTTCAAAATTATTCAGACTTGTTACAAGTAAGATAAAATATTATTTTTCATAAACTACCTCAGTTAAGCAGGAATGAATATCTACTCTGTAACGTCATTTTGCCATACTTGACATCAAAGCTATGGTGCACATTGTTTTGTTTAAAATATCCGTTGAATAACATGGATTTTATGGAAAGTTATAAGTCAAAAATGTATAAATAAAACATGAAGTCAGTGTTTAAAAATCCATGAACATGAACTATAATGCTTCCTGTCTGTATACCCACGTGACACATGAAACGTCGTAGTTCAGATCCTGACGATTTTTCTAAAATTCAATTTAATACTAAAATAAATCTTTCACAAAAACACGCACCCTCACACACACACACCCTCATCCTCTAACCCTCTCCTTCACCTTCCCTAACTCACACACCCTCACACTCAGACAGAGAGAGATAGAGACTCACTTTTATGAAACATAAGGTGATGAATATTGCCAGGAGAATCATGTTTGAGGACTTCAGAGCTTGGCGTTTATATAATTATCTGTAAGCAAAATATTTAGATTTTGTTATTAGTTTTGCATTTTGTATATAAAAAAAAACTTTGTTGACAAATTTGAATGACATCTGAAAGAGTGTTCATACTAACTTGAAATAATATACCATTAAAATGACACTGAAACCACTGAATTCACAAAAACCGAACTACGGGGACTATAAGTCTTGAAGTTGCTTGTGTTTTTTTTAAATAAAAGTACTTTGATTTTAATATGTAGGAGAAAAAAACGTGTGTGTATTTTTTTCATATTGACAGCATTAAAATTTGTTGTTAATATTTTCTTAACAAAGAATTATCCTGACGATAATTTCACACAAAAGATGTTTAAGACTAATTATTTTTTTTTTACTTGGTACTGTGTTACATGTAATTAGAGGCTCTGGAATAAAACTGGCCCGACACAAAGCAACAAAATATCTAAGGGTTGAAAAAAGGTACATGTACACAAATATAAAATTGATATAGTTTTCTGGAAAAAATCTCTTAATCGACATTTTTTAAAATTAGGTACTGTTCCTAGAAGATTCAAACTTACCATAGTTTATCTTAAATCATGTGAACACTCTTCATACTTTCGTTATACACCTGTACGTTTCAAAATGGCGGATAGTTACCCGAGACTAGAAAAGTACGCATGCTCCAAATTAACGATATTTTAAGCCTCATTGTCAGCAAAACACACACAAAAAATTAAATCCATACAATATCAAGAAGTCCATCGACAATTACCACATGCTAAGCATTGTGCGTTGCACCTTTACGATTACCACATGCAATGTGTTATTTAGATCGTTCTAGTATATATAGATCGTCCTTTTCAAGATTGCTTTAGATTAGGTTTTTTAAATAAAAGTGGGGCAATCAAAAAGTTCAAGGACCAATGCGATAAAAGAAAACAACAAAATATATAGTTGAAAATTTTAGCTGGATAAGTTGATATTTTTTTGCCAATTTATTTAAGGAATTTTTATAAAAAAAAAATTTAAACTGTCCCAAGTTATGTTATATCGTTTAACATAACTTGAAATAAGCTTCATTCCTTGTAATATAATTCCAATGTAGACAATGATACAATTTCCCAGTTTTTCCTTTGGAAAAAGGCTTCAAATATAGCAAATTTTAAAAGTTAACGTCAAGCGGATTAATATACAATTATAGCCTTTTGATGAGGTCAGTCCCTAGAAATATAGACATCAGAGAAAGCATATTGACCGAGCACGAAGTGCGAGGTCGATATGCCTTCTCTAAGTTCCATATATCTAGGGATTGTACCAAATCAAAAGGCTACAATTGTTTTATTATTTTTTATCAGTTAATAGGAAATGTCTTAAAATCCTTCTGAATGATAATCAGTACCTTCTCATACAAGGCATTGTTATGTCAATGCATTATGACGTCATAGTAATGAAAACCAGCTGCAGTGTCTGTTTTTAGAAACATCCAGTCTATAAAAACTATTGTGACGTCAGCACTATTGTTGTTTCACAGAGAACATTTCTAATTTTAGAAACAGCGGGTCTATAAATTTTTAAAATAGAAACATCGAGTCTGTAACACTTTTTATAATTGATCATGTGATCCAGTTTGAGCCAATTAGATAGTTGGAACAATACAGAAAAATAATAATACGTTTTGACGTAACTCATTGTGACGTAGGCAAGTTTTGTTCTACAAAATGGATAAAACTGTTTAACCAATCATGTGTCGTGTTGCAACTGAAATTAAATTATTATAAAATAAAAAGGACATTATATGATCTCTCAGGACTGTCGCATTTAGTTTCATGAAGCATTGTTTCTCAATGTCCGCTCCCTCTTCATCAGACTCTTTTCCTGATGAGATTCCCTGGAGTTGAGTAAGGAATTAAACTCCTGTTGTTTATATCACTACAATATCCCGAATTGTTGTTTTCCATGCCTATGATATTGCAATTTGATTTATACATTAGAAAAGATCCTCGTTTGATTATATATAATAAGCAAATTTTGTATATTGGAGGTATGTATTTACCATACATAATCAACTTATCATATTTGAAGTAATTGACTAAATTCAACAATTTTAACTGTACATATCTCATCTTTCTGATATTCATCTTGTATATAAAAAACCAAGTATATATTTTGTACTCTGTATGTATTTTATTTTTGTACTCTGGATGCATTCAATTTTTATTTCTGTTTTTGACTATTTAATTTTCAGGGGTGTTCCTAACATATTCGTTTACTGTTTCAACAACAAAACATTCCTTATAACTGTTGTTAATAGCCCTTCTGGCCTTGAAATTGTAATGATCGAAAATTTTGTCTTCTTATACTGCCATTTTGATTTGCAAGATAATTCGGTCCAACACAATACTTGAAGAACCGTGCGCAATTTTTTTTCTACGCAATACAAAAACATGCAGTTCTTTTTAATATGTCGCACTGCAGCTCTCCGGTAAACCAATTTTTTTTAGTAGAGGTACAGGACGCAGCTAATATCAAGTAAAAAACCCCTCAAAATTATACATATAAGATTAGTAGATAAACCTTTTTTCCCAAAGGTACATGAAACAATTGTCATGTTGCAACAAGATACAATAAGTACAATTCATACATATAACTAATTTTTCTGATGATTTTAGAACAGGAATTAGTTTATGCAATTTACATAATATACGTGCTGGAAAAATGCGATTTTTCACGTATTTTGTTATTATTTATTTGTATTGCAGAAATAGTTCGTTCGATATTTGTAGCGCATTTAATTTTAGAATAAATTTGATAAACATTTTTTTTAAAAAGTTATATGGTAAAAGCCGGTGCTAGAAACACTGTGCACAATCGGGTTTTCCTGATTTTTCTTCCGTTTGGAGCTCCATACCCCCTTCCTTCGAAGAAAAAAAAAACACCTTTAGCTACTTATAATAATCTTCGGTATTTAAAGACGAAATAGTGTATAGATGATAAGGATGATATCTGTTGGCTTTTTTGCATAAGATATTCGATGCTCATTTACTATAAATATAAAGTAAATCTGGATTATTATTTTTAATTTTAGCCTATTTGGAAAATTTTCAATCTTTTCAGGAACTACATATTAATGAACAGGAAATTGTTATCTAATAAGGTCATGATTAATGTGTTTATTTTTATTCATAAGCGGAATTAATTCGAATGAATTGTTTTTCATTCCCATGAAAAAAAAATGTTGCATCTCATCTTTTTCGTCATGCTTCATCTTTTGAAGTGTATAAACTGTGCATGGTGCTATGGGTAACTTATTTGTTCATAATTAATTCCCATAAATTCTGAAATTGCATTGAAATGAATATTATGATGTATAATCAATAACATTTTTCATTTGTTTATAAATGATCAACAGTGAAAATGGTCATCAAATATGCTGCGCAGGATTTTTTCTTAATCTCGACACCGGTCATTGTGATGGTAAGATCAATTCAAATATATATAAACCATTTCAACTGCTTTTTTCAAACTTGTTATTTTGACAATGCACTTTTTAGAATGTCCAGTTGGATATTTTGGTCTTAACTGTTTGAGGAAATGTTCTTTTCCTACATATGGAAAAGAGTGTCAAATGGACTGCCAGTGTTCAGAAAATCTGTGCGACTTCTACACGGATGTCAGCAACAATTAGGTAATATTTATTGAAATATTTTCCGAGAGTTATTTAAAATATAAATAAAATGTCGTTCTAATATTCAATTTGAAGATGTGTTTTTGTCTATTCATCAAAAGTTTTTAACTTTAAAATCAATAACCTACATATTGGATCATTATCATTATAATTAAAATTTATTGACACTAAACAATAAATTTAATTTCTGAATATTATAAAAATAATTTGTATTTCCAGAGTCAGAAAATTCAATCAAAAGCACAACGCAAATAAAGTATTCCGAAACTGAGGACGAGATACTGGTTACAGGTGGAACATTATATATTTCTAAATCGATACCGGAAACAACGCAAAATAATTCAAATATTGATAAAAATTCCGATGTTAATGCTGTTTTAATTGCCTTGTCTATGCTTTTCTGTATTGTATGCGTCTTCACTTGCATATTCAAAACAAGTTTATGTAGATGTAAACAAAACTTTGGAACTAATACACAAAGTACAAAATCTACAGAAATACATCTGGAGATGGCACAAATTAAAGAGGAAACACATAATGAAGTTGAAAGCGCAATTCACGACGAAGAAATGTATCTATGTCCGGTTTTTGAAAATATGTCTATGTATGAGGACATTGATGCTCTAAATTCTCCCGATAGGATCAGTAAAGATGTAGTCACCAACAAAATAGCACCTATTTTAGATGAAAAGGATGGCCTTTCATTTTTTAATGAAGAAAACATATATTTAACGCCTTCCTAACCATAACTTATTTGTACATGTAAGGAATTTCTATGGCAAGCCATTTGCTATTAATTTTGAAAAAAAAATATCTTATAATTACAGAGACATATCTGATTATAGAGAGAGATCTTTTGAAAAAAGAGATTTCTCCCAATTTAAAGATTTCTCTCCTTTTTTAGAGATATCTCTTTGAGAAAGGGATATCTCTTAAACTTAGAAAGATCAAAGAGATATGGTCTCTTTATCCTTAGAGATATCTCTTTCCTGAAAAGAGATATCTCTAAACGTTTAAAAGATGTGTTTTTCATCCAGAGACCTTTTAAATCTTCTTAGCCATTAATATGCCCAGTATATATCAACCATAGAACAGTTTAAGATCCAGGAAGCATTACTACTGTACTTCCAAACACTATATATATTTTCAATGATTTTGTTAAATACGAATGTAATGAAAACGTTAATACAGATCGCTGTGATATATGTTCGGGCTTAAAACTTCACAAAAAAAAAACTCAATGAACCCGTTGAAGCACATTTCAAACTCAAGGGTCACAATTGGGAGGACATGATAGTTGTGATCATTGACTATTCTCAAAACTGGACCGACGACAAGAGAAAAAAGCAGAAGAAAATTGTGGTTTGACAGGCTTGTCATTTCGCCGTAGTGTTATTAACAACGTGGATGCCTTCACTACGATACACATGAGTTAGGACAAAATGTCCGTTGTAAACAAGACTTTTTGTCTCCATATAGTTATTACAACTTAAAAATTCATAAAAGTTTGAGCTTATTTACCAATGTATTATTTGTTTAAAATTGAAATACATATGTACATATTTCAAAATTCAAAATGACTTTATAAATGTTCCATTTTCTTCTTATCCAATTCTATACTCGTACAATTTCCTCCATTATTCTCTGCTTCGATTCAGTTCCTATGTCATTATGAAATACAACTATATGAGAGAAAATATAAAACATATGATTTAATATCAGAAAGTAATTATTTCCGTCGTGTATGTAAATCATACATTGTCGTAATACTAGTCTTGTCGGACGTGCTTCCGGGTGTCCATAGTATTAAATATATATCTCAAAATTTGATAAGGGTTTTAAATGATGTCATATTCTTATTCTATCCCTTTTGTAAGTTTCCGTTATTATTCTCTCTCTTCATACATATGGAAAAAATCATGTTGTTAAAATTAAGGAAAGGTTTTTACCTCACCTGAGCCG